AGAGATTACAAAAAAATCAGCCACTAAAAAGTCTGTAAAGGTCCTTAAAACTCACTTTATTGAGCCTGAATTTAAGAATTTGATCCTTAATCTGAGATACTAATCAACAAATAAAACAATCAGCATTAAAATGTGTGACTTTTTGTTAAATGAAGGAACCAGAAATATTCTTATTTTTATCTTTTTTTTATTAAAACAATTGAAAAACTAAACAGCTGCTTTATTTCCAACACTGGGACCAGAAACGAGTGCAAGTGCTCTTACTCTGAAAATAAGGACAATAATCTGGTTCCTCTGCTGGGATATTATGCAACCAGTGTTGTCACTGGTTAAATCGAGCTCAATATCGGCTGTAATAGCTTATTAAGACAAAGTTAGAGATATTTTCTTAAAACTAGATTACTTGTTGTTTGTTTATTTACAAGATTATTTTTCTTTATAGACAAAAAATAACAGAAACAAGGTTTTTTTTTTTTTTTACCTTCCTGAGATTTCTTGTTGGTCTCTTAAAGGCTGACCTGTAATGTACTCATTAAACCCGGAGTAATCAAACCGAGGTTAAATGTGTTAATACTAAACCTACCGGTAACTTATATGACTGTTGGTGAGCAGGTGCTGTTCTGTGTTGTCAAGAAAAAACTCCTGAAAAGTGCTTTCTTGAAACGAGTGGGAACCCTGAGGAGCTTCTTTTAGATTGTCAGCGGCCGTAAAATAGCTTCACAGATTCGTCCTGAAGACTCGGATTAACGAGTTACTGCAGTTGTCATATTTGGCACCTTTATCACCACGAGTCACAAATCGTACCGACTGACAGATGACGCCTCGCCTGGTTTCTGGTTCCAGTTAGGAGGCGGCCACGTTCCCTCGGCTTCAGAGGGAACCTGAATGAAGCCGTGTTGTTGGATGTTGTTCAGAATATTTGTCGTACAGGTTCTGATTGTTGCTGTTTCAGTCCCATCCATGTGTTTTATAGATCTGACCTCAAATTATCTTTATTTATGAATGCTACATGGAGGTCGTTAAATTAAACGACCACAAATCAGCACCAGAAACAACTTCTCAGAGTGGATTCGTCCCAAAAGATTAACTGGGGAATAAAAAGTGTCACCAGGCAGATTAATAGTATAATGTCTTCTGTAATCCTGATTTATCTGTTCTGTTCTAAGTTATTAGAAATAAAGGCTGTCGCAGCACCAGAACTCTCAGTGGATTACTTTGACTTCCTTCAGTTCCTCTCTGATCAATTATCTCATAATAAACTGAACCGCCATCACAAATAAACACAAACATACATGAAACTGAAAATGGCTTCCACAATCAATTTTGGTGATGCATTCGAGGACGCTCTGTTGGTTTCAGCTCTGCTCTGAGTCTGTTGGTTTTCCTGCAGGGTGGACCGGGACCAGATGGAAACCCGGGATTAGCCGGACGCCGCGGAGCCAACGGACAGAAGGTGAGTGACATTATTATAACTGCTCTCCTCTCACTGCCTCATCGGATCAATGAGAGCGCGGGTCCTCAAACAACAGGAAGTTAGTTAGCATTGGTCTGACGTCACGAGATTTAAAGTCCACATGAAACAGCAATCAGAGAGCTGTTTGCTTCCACGTGTGTTACATCCACGGAGTCCAGCAGCTGTAGCCTCTGGTCCTATTAGCTGACTCTGATGGACTGGGAGCTACATTAGCAGTTAGCGGAGCTGAGGCAGAGCAGTCGGAGGACGTCAGAGGGAAAACGAGACAATATTCTCTCCATAAAATATGATCCAGTTTCACCCAAATCACTGATAAAGGTGTGTTTGTACAGTAATAACAATAAATAAAACAGAAAGCATTACACTGTGTACTGACCCATGCTAGAAGAATTAATAACAAGGACTCGTTAGAGACCCAGTGGTCTTTATTGTTATATTTTCATACAATAAGTAGCAGTGTCTTGAGATAAGGGAAATAAAAACAAACTGTTGTTGTTGCTGAAGGGCCAACCAGGAGATCCGGGAGATAAAGGTGTTCCAGGATCGCAGGGACCCAGAGGGATGCCGGTACGTAGCCTGAACGTCTGCTGTGGTTGTGTTTGTATCCTGTGGAATATAAAGGGAAACTGTCTCTGCTTCAGGGTCAGGATGGAAAAGACGGTTACGGACCTGCAGGACCTAAAGGTGCCAAGGTAGAGGAGACCTCCACAGTTAAACAGAATATTTTTACATTAATGGACACTTTGGTTACTTTAGATAACTGCTCTTTCCGTCTCCATACAGGGAGATCCTGGTTTTCCTGGTTACCCTGGTCTACTGGTGAGTCCATCTGTTCCCAACATTATCAGGGGCCAAATAAAGCTGGACGCTGAACATTTAACACACAGACAGAGAGACAAACAGCAGAGTCCACTTCAACAGCAGAAGCAACCAAACGAAGGAAGAGAAAAGATAAATACTGTCTGTATACACCGATTATATCTCATTGCTTCCTGCAGTGGTTCACATTAACCGCTGCTGACATCAGTATTTTTACTTACTTACTGTTGTTTCTTGGAGTATCGTAAAATGATTCATATCCCTAAAATTTGTTCAACCTCAGATAAGAGGTTATACAAACTATAATACTTGAAAAAGGTTCTAAAACTCAGTCATAAATAAAGAAAATTGACCTGTTTTTCATCAGATTTTATTAAATAAAAACAGAAAAACACTTTCTAAAGAAAAAATGAACAAAAATTTGTACAGAAGTTATTTGAATATTTTTTGGCTGCTCCTCTTTTCTTACTTTGCCTCAAGTATGTGTCTCTTAAGTAAGATTTATACAACATGCAAAACAGAGGAAAACAAGAGGATTAGTGTCTGAAGGGAAGACTCAGAGGTCAATGGATTAATGCCAGGTTTTCCATCGCCTAGTGTTAGCCTAACTCTGGAGCGTTATTTAGCCTCTTCGGTTGCCAGCGCCACCCCTCGCCCTCTGCTCCTCCGGGGTGGCGAGGAGGCGTTTTAGGCTGCATTAGACGTGTTTACAGTCCGATGAATTACTAATGACAGGCTGATGTTATTGAGGTAAGAGAGTGCACTGAAACATCCTGCCTTTATTTATCCTCTCACTCGGTCTGGTAGAGAGGGCTTAAAGTCCGAGTGTGTTTGGATATTTGAAGATAATCCAGAGTCAATGTCTGAGAAACAGGAAGCCTGTCGAAGTGGTGCGTTCGCTGTGTGACAGAGATTGTGTGTTTGTTGTTCAGGGTGAGATCGGCAAGCCGGGACCCAAAGGATACCCAGGACGTAAAGGGAACCCGGGTCGAGGCGTGAGTCAAAACTTTGATTTATTTTAATAGTTTGTTTGGTTTTTGCTTCATTGCTGACTCTTGTTTCCGGTCTGACTGATTCAGGGAAACTCAGGCGTGTCGGGAGAATCAGGCGTAAATGGAGACCCGGGACATCCAGGACGCAGGGTGAGTATCAACCAGTCCAGACCACCTTAACTCTGCATACCACTTTAAAGCTCCAGTGTAACAAACCAATCACCGGCCCTAGATTAGGACTTTTGTCCGGCAACCGTAGTTTCTCCTACGCACTCGAGAAGCTGTCCCTTCTTAAGCCCCGCCCCTTTTTGGTAGACTTCCTCCTTTGCTGTATTTAGATACTTAGCTATGTTTTTTGCTAACATTAGCTAACTTGAGATGTGACTATATATATCTTCAGAATGTGGTTGTCTTTTCAACATAAATTAGCCTAGCATGTAGCCGAAGGACCAAATGACCCAAGGCGTTCTCAACTGCTATTGGAGCACAGAGCAAAAGGGGGCGGGGCTTAGGAAGAGTCAATCGGTTGCAATCTGCAACTTCACCTCGAAGGGCCACAATATCCTGCACACTGGTCCTTTAACAGACAGTCCGGCATATTAAACCTTCAAATTCAACATACCACCTTAACTCTAGAGCTGTTGGTCGGTCACTATTATTTGACATTTTATAAAATAAATAATTAATCACTCATGAAAATCTTCCACAATCAGCTTTAACCCTGATATATCTTTGTTTAATGTTAACTCTGTCTATGTTCCACCTTAAGAAAATAAAAATCTCTGTTTATGAACACCATGAGCAGTAAAAAGCTTTAATAAGAGTTAATAATGCCTCTTCCTCTCCTTCTTCTTCCCAGGGTCCCAGAGGTCCTGCTGGAAACATGAACATGACAGTAAGTCCACCTTAAGATTTACCTAACCTGCCAACTTTAAGGGAAATATTAACCGTTAGTCTCGGTGTTCATTGGTTGTTTTCCGTTCTGTCAGGAGTGCCAGCTGATCACTTACATCCGAGACAACTGTGGTAAGAAGCTGTTCACACTTCACAATGTTTTTGACCTTCTCACTGTTTCTACGACTCTAAAGGATGTTTTCTTTCCTCCACACAGCCTGTGCCATCGGTACGTATCTTCATCCTAACAACCACATCAGTATGGTGAGTACGGTGAGTACGCAGTGTGCCGCTCAGATAACCAGCCAGGACCAGGGGAGGCTGCGGGTGAATGCCAACTATCTCTTCTGTTGGAGTTTATTGGAAATAACCCCGAAATCTGAGTCCTGCATTCTGATTGGCTGCTGGGGGTCCATTTATTCCTGATGTAGGAGACCTACTGAGTAGTTCCAGTGAAACTGAATAAAAACAGGCTGATAGCTGCTGGTTGTTGTTAAACGTGGTGTCAAATTATATTTACTGTTTAACTGTAGGCAGTTTTATTGACTGAATGTTGCTAGCGTAACATTAGCTCTCTGTCTGTAACGTAACGGCTCTCACTCTCTCCTTCCTTCTTCTTTGCTCTACTCAACTCTTCTCTGTTGGTTTATTAGATAAATCAGAGTGCCCAGCGTATCCCACCGAGCTGGTGTTCGGTCTGGATATGTCCGAGGACGTGACCCCGGCAGCCTTCGAGAGGCAGCGCTCTGCCCTCCTCTCCCTGCTGAACGACATCACCATCGC